GAGGGGGGCGGGGGGAAGACGATCCACGAGCGAGTGAAGCGGAGGGGGGGACAGGGTTGTGCGTGGGTGTATTACGGGGGAGATGGGGGATAGAGGTTGATTAAAACAAGAAATGGCCCCACCCGTGCTTTTGGAGCACACTCTACACCGCAGCTACCTCACGTCACTCCGCACCCCTTCCCCCAACCGCTCTTTGCCATACACCGCGAGGACAAGTCCACGCGGTGCCGTACACGGGTGTCGTACACGTCCCGCGCCCATACGGCGACCCCCCACCCCCTAGCCCTCCCGACCCCGGGGCCAGCTCACCTTGTCGATACCCCTGTGTGTGGCCACCGCCCCCCCCGCCGTGGGACCGAGTCCCGTCACTATGTTGATGACGCCGTCGGGAATGCCCACCTGCGTACGACAAGGACGACAGGGATGGCAGTACAAACATACAAGCATACATATAAACATTATACATCACACATCATACACACATGCATGTATGCATGTACGGGCAAGTGCTTGTTGGGACATGCAGCCCCCGTCCAAGCTCCTTCGCCCCAGCCCCCCACGCCCACTTACATATGTACGTACAAACAGCGACAAGCACAACGGAGGAACCTGGATGCACCTGGACCCCCAGCCGACCTCCGCACCTACTGAGTGCTCACATGACCCACATGACCCCGTGACTGCGCCTTGTCAGGCTCTGTCGATACCTCACCAGCCCCCTCCCCCTTCTCCTCCTCCTCCCCTTCCCCCCCACTTCCCCACCTCCTGCGCCAGCTGCGCCAGTCGGAGTGCGGTCATGGGGGTTTGCTCCGCGGGCTTGAGCACCACCGTGTTCCCCGCGGCCAGTGCGGGACCCAGCTTCCACGCGGCCATCAGCAGCGGGAAATTCCAGGGGATGATCTGCACCAGGGAGGGGGGGAGGGGGGAAATGAGGGGCAGGGGGGAGGTGCCAAGGGGCCAAGGGTGTCGAAACGCACGTGGGGTGGGAGGGTTTTGTACGGCATGACGTGTTTATCAGTAACTCACTCCGCCGTCCACCTCCTGCCCCCCTCTGCTGCCCCTTCTGCTGCCCCCACCTGCCCCACGACGCCAATGGGCTCGTGCAGGGTGTAGGCCAGGTAGGGGCCGTCCACGGGAATGGTCTTCCCGTGGATCTTGTCCGCCCAGCCAGCATAATACCTGTGTGTGTAGGTGCATATGTATGTAAGTATGACCACGCCGCCAGGGATTGGGGGATCGGGTGAGCGGTTAGGCCGTTTCAGGTGGAAGCAGTAGTGTACGACAGGATGAGACCCCGCTCAATTCCTCACAGTTGATGTCTGTCTGTCTGTCTGTCTGCCTGTACGTGCGTGTGTGTTATGCATGTGTCTGGAGTTGCGTTATACCCTCCACAGGTGTAACCGGGGGGGGGGGGGGAGCCGCATAACCTAGGGGGGGCCCTGAGGGGCCTAAAGGGCTGTCCAAATTAGGCTACATAAAGATGTGCACAAGAAAGACCATCATATCATCATCCTCTCGTCATTCAACACGAGGAAAAATATATGTATATGTATGTGCGGTGGTGGATGAGGTGGACGCGAACTTCAGCTGGTCCACTGTTATTACCATCAGCACACCCTTCATTTAGCCCGATCCGCTGAAACCCGACAGAAAGCTCTGCATGCATGCATGTGCTGCTGGGCTGCAGTCCAAAAGCACCTCGTTGCAACAACGTGCCCAACAACCCCCTGTTTCCCCCACCTCTATTCAATTCCCGTAGTAGCGCTGCGCTTACTGCGGGGGAAGACGGAAAAGCTGTACATGCTATGCATCCCACCCAGCACGGCTTGCTTCGACCGCAACAAGACAACTCGTCTAACAGTTTCTCGCACACAACTTCCAAAATGCGGACAGCAGACTGCCTGAGCACTCCCCCCCACCCCCACACGCACACCCCGGGGAGGGGGTCCAGACGCACCTACCCCATCCCGACCCGCCCACCCCGGGGTAGATCCAGTCGCCACCACCTCACCTGAAGTGGTCGATGGAGAGGGGCACATCGGCCGCCCGGCTGTAGAAGATGGGCTGAGGGCAGCGGGGAAGGGGGGGGGGACAAGGCAACAGACTGACGGCTCACTAACGGCCCGCAGGGCCACCCCACGAGGGGAAGAGATGCTCGGGGGCTACGGCGACTGCGGAGCTGAAATTCGGGCGTGTACGGGCACACGGTGTTTTATGTATGTGTGTATGTATGTACGTGTGTATGTATGTACGTATGTACGTACGTATGTACGTACGTATGTATGCATGTATGTATGTACCAGCAGCGATAACACCACCAGCAATCACCCCCCGTCCCCGTCCTCCCCTCCCCACCTTGCCGTTGTCCAGTGTCTCCAGCATTGCCAGTTCCTCGGACGCCGCCTCCATTGCATCCGCCAACTTGTACAGCAGCCGGCCGCGCTCCTGAAGGCGAGTACGGCACCACCAGGTGATCGAGGGCCATTAGGTGGTGGGGCCTCAGACACCTCTCGCTGGCGTTAATCAATGCCGCCGCCGCCGCAGCAGCAGTAGTAGTAGCGGTGGCAATGGCAATAGCAGTGGCAGGTGCGCAATGGATCTGACCCGAATGACTGAGTACTGAGGCATCAGTTGACGTGGCATTCACCATCGGCAGCAAGAGATCAATCTACGCCCAACATGGCGGCACCCACCTCCCTTATCTACCAGGCGCGAGGGAGGCCAGGCAGATAAGGTAGGAGGGTGTCGACAAGGGGGGAATGATAAGACGAAACGAAATGGTGCGTAGTGATGTCCTTGATGGCGACGTTCGGGATATGTCCCCGACGCCCATATCCATGTCCATAGACATGTTCGTACCTTGGCAGTCATGCGGGGCCAAGGGCCAAAATCGAATGCTTTGCGGGCAGCCTTGACCGCCTTGTCTACGTCTGCGGCATCCCCCTCAGCGACTTCGATCACGGTCTCCTCAGTTCGGGGGTCCACCACGGAAATCGTTCGACCGCTGACAGCATCTTGCCACTTGCCATCGATAAACAACTGCACATTCAAATAAAGTGATTAAGGGGGACGTTGTCGGGGTCATGTATAAGAAAGAAACGCATGCAAGATAGCTCGCCGGTATGCTACCTTGATAAATTCATACACCAACAGGATATTAAGGGAACAGAAATCGGTGTTGAAAACTTTGAAAGTGGAAAACATGCTTCTTGACTTGCAGTGCGAATTTCTTAGGTGCTTTCCGACACAGCAGCTGTCCAACACGTTCCTCTTACCTTCGCTGGCAGTCGCTTAGCATGCATGAGAGCATCCTGGTACTCCTTCGTGTCAGCCGCATAGGCCCTGCCAGCAGGCAGAAGCGCAAGATCCTGGGCAAACCGTCGCAAGGAAATTATGTGTCCACGAACTTACGGTTGTGCTGCGCTTGCAAGATTGCGAACCGCACTAGAAAGGACTGCTAAGAGTCCCTTATTTCCTTGGCTTGACGCCCCAAAAGAGCGCACAGCGGCCAGCGCTGCCATGGTCAGGTCAGTTGGCTATTCCGGAGAAAGGTACCGTCCAAATTAGCGTAATATTACTGCCGAACCAGGTACTCCCAAACCAGGCCAGTTGCAACAATGCAACCCTGCAGTGTTTGGAAGTTTCGTTTGTGTGTTATTACGAACATGCCTAGTCACCTAATACATCAGATTCGTACGAATCACACGGCAAGGTTGGTGAAATCACTCAAAAGTCCCATCGATAGCCATTGGCTCTATATGGTGCATATGTTCTTGCGCATGTCGCAATCGCCAGGTTACCCACACGAAGATTTTGTCCGGTTTTGGATCACCGGTTGATTGTTTAGTTTTTAGGCTACCTGCCCTGGAACTGTGGAATTTATTCTTGGGAAATAAAATTGGAGACGTATTTTTTACGATCGCACGTCATACATTACACAGTTCTGTGTATGACTACGGCCGTATCGGAACTTCCATGCTCCTCTTTCAGCGACAGCAGTTCAAAGAATAATACGTAGCGTGATACGCAGCATGAAGCACGTTGTTAAGAAATTACTACTAACAGTCAAAATCAGTCAATCTACTTGCTGTGTCTGAAAGCACAAGTGGCTGCTGCTACACCAGCGCTCCCATGTCTCATCCCCCCAAACGCAATATCGCAGTGGCAATCCTCAAATCCAGATAAAGAAAATGTACGTAACAGGAATACCCGCCATTCAGGTGCTCGATCACCCGCAAAGGCAAACACCGATACGCAAAGAGCGACCAAAGCAAAGAAACAGAACGGCTGCCTGGGAATCAGTCAGTGCAGCACACTCCTGCAAACGAGAAACGGATACGCCTGGCCAGACCCTACCCATAGCCTGCCTGTGCACTTGACTTGCCTCTTAATACAGAGGTACATAAGCGCTGTCTGTCCTAACAAGCACTCTTGTGCTACTGTTCACGTACACACGTACGCGCAGCAGCGACTGTGCATCATCCGCAGGCACACAGCAAGTAATAAAGTTATACTAGTTGTACCAGACCCCCTCGGGATTTCTCTCATCGCGACTCAGATCATTCGAACACAGATACACACACAGGGATACACACACATACATACACACACACGCTCAGACATAGAATACTACTTGAACCTCCATTTGGCGCAATCCGGTAACTTTAGCGGCTTTAGGGAAGTAAGCGATGCAGCCTCGACTGGTCAACACTTTGGCCGATATGATGTCGTCTACTCCCTATCCTACCCCCGAACGTATCTCGTACTCTGCCGTATTTCCTACGAACGAACCTCCTGTAGAGCTATTGCCACGATACACCTCTAAAATAGAGACACAATGGCAGTTCGGAAAGCGGCCACCACCCGCCAACAGTCGCCCTCCACCCCCTCCTCGGGAACAGCACACTGCGCCGTCCAATCGTATTTGCAAGGAACCTGCCTGCAATCGCCGCGCTAAGAAATAATCCGCTCTCCTGCGCTAGCAGCAATCCCAGTTCACGAAGCCGCCCGCCGCAATGAAAATCCAATTGATGAAGATTCCAATGCTGACACTCTGTAGTATTCGCGATTACCGTACGAGGTACGAACTAGGAAGGAAATGCAGCGAGGTGCGTGTGAAGCCGCACAACAAGGAGGGGAGGGGAGGGGAGGAAAGGGAAACGGAATATCCGCCAGCCGCACATCACGTGGCGCCGAAAAAAGAGAGATAGAGATATATATAAAGAGAGCAATCAGCTCGGGAGCAAGGTAAAAAGCCTACTCACATCCACCCACCCACCCACCCACCCCGCCACCCCGCCAGCCAGCACCACCACGACCACTACCAGGCCCCCCCGCACACTTGCAGCAGCAGCCGCTGCGGTGGCGTGCTGCTGCGCGGCCTCTAGAGGAGGAAAGTGAGATGGATCTACGCGCCCTCACCCTCACCCTCGGGCGGGAGGGTGCTCTGTGGCCCCCCCCTCCCTTTCCCCCCCCTTTACCAATCCCTCCTCGCCCGGGCAGTGACCACCACCACCCCACCACCGCCACCAGCTGTCCCACCTACATACACTTTCATACACCTCACACGCGGTGAAACACTCAGTGCACTCACTCACTGCAGCACCCGCACTCGCAGTAATAAGAAAACCCAGACGGCACAGACACAGACATAATGACGTACGTACTTGAAGAACCATTCTCAGCAATCCGCTGCTTCACTGGGGGAACCCTTCCCCCTCCACACCACACACGCTGCTTTATAGCCCTCTGCCTCCTAAGAACTGTATTGAATACGGCCCCGAAGTTGGGGCCATAGCATTCCCAACTACAATACCACAACACCACCACCACCAGCACCTGACAAAAATTAGCAGCAGCACACATTCAAACACACTTCGTACAGACGTATTATTACCCTGACCGAGATGTCCATTCGCCAGCCGCCATTCCGGACGCCTCGCCACCAGCATTCAGCCGAGAACACACCCACACATGTATACGTACATATACATACATACATACATACATACATACATACATACATACATACATACATACATACATACATACATACATACATACATACATACATACGTACACACACGCACGTCTTTACCCGGCTCTGTCCTTACCCTTGTGCATGCCTCTCAAGCTCTAAATAAATAAGATGCAACACACTCACATACATACATACATACATACATACATACATACATACATACATACATACATACATACATACATCTCCTCCTAACACAATTTGGACACAACACGCAGCAGCTCCGCTCAGGAATACAGACCTACACACAGACTCATAAGCACACATTCATGAGCACACACACAAAACATTTGCTTTGGATGTATGCAATGCTGTTCCCTCGCAACCCACATTCATGAGCACACTCCACGTTAAAAACTCTAAGTTCACGCGTGTGCACTGTACACGTAGATCCGTCTGTTGGGTACCCACCCATGAAATCAGTCTGTCTGTCAATCTGTCTGTCTCTCTGTCGGTCTGTCAGAGGCAATGCGCATCGGGAAGGTAGCAACGGCCCGGGCAAATCAAAGACCCAACCAACCCAACCACCACAGACGAGGCGCAACCGCACCCCAACCCTCCTCCATCCACCCACCCGCATTCGCCTTCCCTCACCTTCGCGACCTACTGCCCCGGCTACTGCCCCTGCTACTGCACATCTCCCCCGGCGGCACCTTGGCCCGCAGCCTGACCGAGTCCGCCACCTCCCCACTACGGGTGCGGATGAAGCGGAGGTGCAGCTCGTCGCCGTCCACGTCCAACCGACCAAAGCCCCAGTCGTTGATCAAATGGTCACACCAGTCCTGCGCGGGTGTTGGGTGAACAGGGGGCCCCGGGGGAGCCGCAAAGGAGGGAGAGGGGAGTGTGGGTGGAGGAGAACAACGTGGGGGAGGTGGCTGTCGCTCCTCCGATATTGGTGGTGTTGGTGGATAACTTACCGTGTACAATGGCAGCCGCCCCCAACCAACCCCTCTACCCGTAATTACCTCGTACCCCGCCCCCCCTTACCCCTGGTTACCCATCACACATACATACACATGCACAAGCACCGCCATGGCTTCATCCCCAAAATGCACCCCGGCCTCTGAACCCCGGTCAAGCACAGCCCCGCAAACAGCCTCGCCTTCCCCCCCCTCCCCGCCCTTCTCACCTTCTGGTCCGCCTCCACATCGGACAGCTGGTGCCCCGCCGTGCCCAGCACCACCTGCAGCAGCCCCTCCCTCCAGTCCAGGACACACGCGCCGCTGCCGCCCCCCACCACGCTGCAGCTGCGGTAGTAGGTGTGCACGTGACCCGACAGCACCACATCCACCAGCTGCTCCACCAGCAGGGACTCCAGGGAGGAGCGGATGTGCTCACCCACCACCCGGTTGAACTTGTGAGGGTACACAACGTACCTAGCGGGGGAAGGGGGGGGAAGGCGGGGGAGGTGGGGGAGGTGGGGAATGGGGGGGAAGGCG